GGAGTCCTAAACCTCGAGAATATGTTCTTTTTCACAAAAACAACTACCACCTTGGCATCATTGGTTCGCAATGCGATCACCTCTACCCATTTTGACACGTAGTCAACTACTAGCAAGATATATTTGTTTCCTTTGGACAATGGGAACAGTCCCATAAAGTCTATCCCCCACACATAAAAAATCTGTACCTCCATGATGTTATTCAAAGGCATCTCATGCCTCTTTGTGATTGTCCCTGTTCTTTGACATTGGTCACACTTCTTAACAAATGCGTGGGCATCCTTGAACAATGTTGGCCAAAAGAACCTAGATTATAGCACCTTCGCAGCTGTCCTATCGCCTCCATGATGACCCCATAAGGTGAGGCATGGCAATCATACAACACTAATTCTACCTCCTTTTCTGGAATGCACCTCCTCATCAACTGATCAGCACACTGTTTGTACAAAAATGGCTCATCCCGGTAGTAGAAGTTTACATCATGTTGAAACCTCTTTCTAGCTTTAGATTCAATTTCAGGAGGAAGTACCCCACTCACAAGATAATTCACATAGTCCGCGTACCATGGGGAGGGTCTTAGGTGATAGCAAAAAGTTGCTCATCAGGGAATGCCTCCTTAATTTGTCCACCTTCCTCCACATGCTCATAATTTTCCAGCCTTGATAGATGGTCGGCTACATCAAATTCCTGCAACAAGAAAACCCAGCGCATCAATCTAGCCTTGGATTCCTTTTTTTTTAAATAGGTACCTGATTGCCGCATGATCGGTATGGACTATGACTTTTGTTCCTACCAAGTATGAACGAAATTTCTCAAAAGCCCATAAAACGGTTAGCACCTCCTTTTCAGTGGTGGTGTAATTCAGCTGTGTATCATCAATAGTCTTACTCGCATAGTATACGGAGTAAAACATCTTGTCCTTCCTCTAGCCTAGCACTGCCCCAATAGCATGGTCACTTGCATCGCATATAAGTTCAAATGGTAAAGGCCAATCATGTGTTGCAATAACGGGGGCATCCACTAGCTTCTTTTTGAGCTCCTCGAATTCCTTCAGACATGCTTCATCAAAATTGAAGGTTACATCCTTTTCAAGAAACTTGCACAAAGGAGTGAATTTTTTTGAAAAATCCTTAATAAAGCGTCTATAAAACCCCGCGTGTCCCAAGAAGCTCCGGACACCCTTCACAAAAAATGGGTGGAGGTAATTTTTCAACCACCTCCATATCAACTTCAATGCCACTCCTTGACACTCTATGGCTCAACACGATGCCTTCTCGTACTATAAAATGGAACTTTTTCCAATTTAACACCAAATTTGTTTCTTCACAATGGGCCATCACTTTGCTCAAATTCTTCAAACAATCATCATAAGAAGACCCAAAGACTGTAAAATCATCCATGACGACTTCCATAAAGTTTTTCACCATATCAGTAAAAATAGCCATCATGCACCTCTAGAAAGTGGCCGGTGTATTACAAAGGCCAAACGACATTCGCTTGAAAGCGAAAGTACAATAAGGACAAGTAAAAGTGGTCTTCTCTTGATCCTCTAGGCATATGACAATCTGGTTGTACCCCCAATAACCATCAAGGAAGCAATAATATTCATGCCCCGCCAATCTATCCAACATTTGGTCAATGAATGGAAATGGAAAGTGGTCCTTGCGGGTTACTTTGTTGAGCATTCTGTAATCAATGCAAACTATTCACCCCATCACGATGCGAGTAGGGATTAGCTCATTCTTCTCATTCTCTACAACAGTCATCCCCCCTTTTTAGGCACAGATTGCACTGGGCTTACCAAGTTGCTGTCAGAAATAAGAAAGATGATACGTGCATCGAGCCACTTAATTACTTCTTTCTTCACGACCTTTTTCATAATGGGATTCAATCTCCTTTGTTGCTCAACACTGGGGCGGTGTCCATCTTACCGAAAGATTTTATGCATGCAAAATGATGGACTGATTCCTTTGATGTCAGAAATTGTCCACCCAATAGCCTTTTTATGCTCATGAAGTACTCTGAGCAATTTTTCTTCTTGCACATCGGTCAAGCTGGATGAGATAATCACTGGAAATAACTTAGAGTTCCCCAAATAAGCATAGCACAGATGCGCTGGAAGGGGCTTAAGCTCTAGCTTTGGAGCTTCTTCAATAGATGGCTTAGGAGGGGTCAGAGTAACAGGTCTGTCCAACTCCTCAAATCTCCCAAACCCATGGGACATAACTGCAAGACATGTTAAGTACTTCCTCAATTTCTTCCATCATTTCATCTTCACTATCTTCTTCATCCCCAATCAAGGCTCGTTCAAGAGGATCTATGGGGCTCATATAAGGCACCAGTGACGTCACATCACTTTCCACCACAGAAATTATGGATAACTCTTCATAGTGTGCTGGCAATCCAAGTGCTTTATAAACATTGAATACCTCCATTCGATCACCCACTCTCATCATCATCTTTCCTTTGCAACATCAATAATAGCTCGCCCCGTGGCTAAGAATGGAAGCCCCAAAATAAATGGGGCTTCCTGATCAGGCTCATAGTCCAAGATAATGAAATCAACAGGGAATATGAAAGAACCCACTTGAACTAACACATCTTCAATCACTCCTTCAGGATAAGCAAGGGAGCGATAAACCAACTGTAAAATTACCGTGGTTGGGCGCGGCTCACCCAACGACAACTGTCTGAACACAGATAGCGGCATCAAATTGATGCTCACCCCAAGGTCACACAAAGATCGCCCGACTGTGTGCTTACCAATCAAGATTTGGATAGTGAAACTACCTGGATCCTTCAATTTCTCAGGTAGCTTGCTTTGATTTCTTGAGCTATCAAGATATCAAGAAACTTTTTACAGGCCGTATTATCCTTCACCTTCTGAAATCTATGAGGGAACAAAGGTGGTGGCCTCTTAACTAATGGTGGGGGTTGATTAGCCACCGCCTCTTCAGCTGGCTTCTCTGACTCTTTTGCTTTTTCTGATTCTACTTCTATGGTGGCCGATTTCTCATGAAAGGTCACTTCCTTCCTATTTTTCGACGGGACTTCTTCTAACTCTCTCCCATTCCTCAACGACACATTATTAATAGATGCCTTAGGATTAGCTTCAATATTGCTTGGAAGAGCTCCAACTGGTCGAGTATTTTGGGCACTGGCAAGTTGCCTCACTTGTCTCTCCAAATTTCGAATCGCTACAGCGTGGGCTGCTTCCTGAGCCTGCTGATCAGCCATCAATTTCTTTATCATCTCCTCAAGGTGACTCGTCGGGTTTGTAGGTTGTTCAGCCTGAGGTGGCCTATATTGCTGTTGAGGAGCTTGTGGCCTGTACTGATTCTGAGCACCTTAGTTTCCACCCCAAAAAAAGTTTGGGTGGTTCCTCTAGTTAGGATTGTAAGTGTTCCCATACTGATTTGTCTGGCCCTTATCTGCATTACCCACAAAACAAAATGACTCTGGGTTAACAGGGCATAAGTCGTTCGTGTGACCTTCTCCACATACTTCACAAAATATTTGAACCTGTTGCACTGGATGAGCTTGTTGCTTCTTAATAACCAAGGTCATCTTATTGACTTGGTTGGCCAATGTGGCAACCTGCGCTGATAATGCAGACACGACATCTAACTCGAGAACCCTTGCAGATTTGCACTGTGTGTCTGCCCATTTCTTCTTGCCAATCAGGAGTGCTTTTGGAAAATTTGTTCAATAATGCATATATCTCATCGAAGTTTTTCTCCAACATTTGACCTCCCGCTGCAGCATCCACCATAATCTTTATCTTAGGATGTAGCTCTTCTATGAAAGTGTGAGCTAACACTTCATTTGTTTGATTGTGATGAGGACAGTCTCTAAGCAGCCCCTTGAACCTTTCCCTGAGTATAAAGACTCCCTCGATTTTTGTTTGAAGGCAGCTATTTCAGTTCTAATCTTTACAGTTTTGCCTGAACGGAAGAACCTTGCCAATAATTTCCTCGCCAGATCATTTCGTGAGGTAATAGATTAGCTGGTTCTGCCTTCAACCATCACTTTGCTTCGTCCAATAGAGAACGGGAATAGTGTGAGCCTCACATAGTTTGGAGTGACTCCGTTAATGATATAAGTATCACTAATCTCCAAGAAGTTCAGGATGTGCTCTTTTGGATACTCTTGTGGAAGACCTATAAACTGCCCATTCGCATGTAATAGCTGGATCATGCTCTGTTTCAGCTCAAAGTGCCTAGTGATTCTTGGCTTCATAATGCTAGAGGTGACATTGGCGATACTGGGCATCGCCACCTCCTGAACAACCATACGTTGCTCCTCTGCCATGTCCAACATCTATATTGTAATGCGTTGGTATGAAGTTTATATTGCCTTGGGTTCTCCCACCTTAATAGCTAGCCTTTGGGGTGTGGTTCTCCCTAGTTGTATCATAGTGTATAACTTTTCCTTTTTCTAGTTTTTGAAAATTTCAACAATTTTTATTTAACTTATTGTGAAGTCGGGGTTCTAGTTCTTTGTTTTGGCTTATAATTAATGTATTTAATTTGCAGTTTTTCTGTTGTCGAGTGTCGAATAAATTAGATTCCTGTCAATCTCATATTTGAAATTCCAAATGAAACACAGTTAGAAATAGCCACTGTAACAAAATGACAATATACATAGTGCGTTTCATACTTTCACTTGGGATTTCAAGTGACACCATGTTGAACAGAAAAGTCAATTGTAAATATATACTCTTGAACACTGGTGTTCGTTGCTTAGTCTGATTATTATTACTATTATAAATTTATTTGAGATTACTATAGGAACTCATAAGGTTCAAATCCTAGATCCGCCTCGGAAGGCACCTATATTTTTCGATGATGCCTTCTAGTTCTACGTTACTATGCAGCAGTATACTCCAGAGGCCCAGACCAATTAGTAGGCTTTACATTATAATCTGGTTAATTTAGATTTACACCCGAATTCAAAGAATTTCAGCGAAATGGATCGTTGGGTGTGGTTAGAAATTGATATCTACTAAAGGTGTGTGTGTAGAAATTAAACCTGGGCTAAATTAAGTGGCAGACTGTGTAAATATATTTTACATTTTCGAACTAAAACAAGTCTACAATATGAGCATGTCTCCTTCCTTTTCAACTTGTTCAACATCCCATATTTTCTGTTGTTCTTCAGTGGATCCATAAGCCCAGGCACACAAGATGAAGTAGAAGAAATTCACCATGCTCAGAAAGCAAAGTAGCCAATAGTAATAATCATAGTGACCCAAATTTAAGTTATTTGATACCCAACTTTGTTTCCCTCCTCTTGTTGAAGCATATTTCACAATAAGATTCCCCACCAAGTTTCCAAGTCCCATGCCCAGTGCGAGTAGTGCTACTCCAATACTTGCCATGCTTTTGGGGAACTGTGAGTAGTAGAATTCTATCTGCCCAATTATATTGAATGCCTCAGCTAGTCCAGTTAAGTTGTTCTGTGGTATTAGCCAGAATGCTGACATGTTCACTTGTGAAAATGGATGGATTGCTAGCCCATCACTAAGGGCTCGCGCCCGTCGTTCCTTTTCCACCAATGCTGCCACTGCCTGAGCTGCACAAGAGAGCAAGATACCGATTCCCATTCGTTGTTTAAAGCTCAGGCCACGTGGGTTCTTGGTGATCTTTGACATCTGGGGCACGAGGATTCTGTCATAGATGGCTACACATATTGTCAATGTAATGATTGCAAAAGCACTAAATGAGCCTGGTGGGATATTGAAGTTTCCAACAAGGTGTCTGTCCATTGTGTTTGCTTGGAGTACTGGAAAGGCATGCTGGTTCAGGGTTACTGCTACCATGATGCCTGATGACCATATGGGCAATACCTTGAGCAGGGCTTTCATTCCTTCCACTTGTTGAACCGTGCACAGTTTCCATGGGTCTGAAGCTGTTCCATCTGGATTTAAATCTTTCTCAGGGTTTCTAATGATGCACGCCTTATTTAAGAACCTAGAGGAATTATGGATTATAAGATCTTTGTTGGCATGGCCTAGAATACAGTAGTACATTCTTGCAACGAAACATTCTTACGGATTGTGTTGATGTTAACTATCTGTTAGTAATACTTCCCGACATGATTATTGTTCTGCTCATAAACTATTTGGTATTTAGGAACTGGCAATAAAGATAATTTCAATATGAGTAAGGGGAATGCAGAATACCTTAGTTTGTTTGTTGGAATAGTAAGCCTTGAACCCTTGTCATGATGATACAACTCATCAGAATCCACTGGAGGCAAAGAAAGATGTTTGTTTTTCCATGCCGCAGCTACAACTTGGACAAAACTAGTGACCAGGCTCTTGTTTGCTTTGATCCTAATGAAAAGTTTAGCACCCAAAAGAAACGTAGCAGCTGCCAACAGCATGAGGCATGCTGACACTCCAAAGCCCACAATCCAGCCAAATTGAGCCTGAATATACACTATAACTGTCATGGAAATCAAGGTTGATATGCAAACTGATGCATAATACCAATTGAAGAAACTCTGCAAGATCTTTCCATTGTCCGGATTCTCAGGTTTGTTGAATTGATCAGCTCCAAAGGCTAAAGCACACGGCTTAATACACCCCGCTCCTATGGACATTAATGCAAATGATGCAAACAGAAGTGCGACCTGGCCAAAGTCTGGTTTTGAACAATTTCCTGCTTCTAGGTTGCAAGAATGTGGCTTTGCTTCTTTTAGTATAGCTGTTAACCACAATACCACCATTCCCTACATTGAAATCAGTAGTTAAAATCTGATCAAAACATCTGATTAATAACTTGAACACATTGTATCCTCACCATAAGGCTGACAAATGTTCCTAAAGCAATCACAAAATAGCGACCCAAGTAAGAATCAGCAAGGAGAGCTCCAAAGATAGGCATGAAATTTGCGATAGAACCCCACCAGAAAAGGATGCTAGCTCCAGTAGCATTTTCCCAGTGATACTCTTTCGTCAAGTACAAGATCATATTCGCGCTTAGTCCAACGCCTGCAGCCCTTTCCAATGCCTCATTTGCTGTAACCATCAAACCAAATTCCAGAACCATTGACATTAAAATAAAAGAAACCACCTAGTTCAAGGAAAAAAAAAAAAAAACACATACCGATAATAAATGGCATGGTTTTAAGGCCACCTTTCTTGCTATTTGAGACATCCCCTGAAGTTTCCACTAAATCAGAAGAACTTCCTTTCATTTCCATCACGACAGATATGGTTGAACAAGTCCTATTGCTAGATAGAAGAGATTCTAAAATAAGAGAAAAAGGTCAGCTTTGACAAGGGGAAAAACCTTTAATTAGAGAATGCAACTTTATGTTTAGCTTCTTTAACAGTTTGACTGATGCTGAACGACTCCTCCATGCCTTAATTTTTGCTTTTCTAAATTCGCCAAAATGCCATTTGGCTTCATATCTTTTTCAATCAGACTATCACGTCATATACACTTTACTTGAGTTTTATTGGGGCTACATTGGCTAATATATTTATGACGTAATTAGCAGTGTCAACAAGTTAAATGTACATTCTTCGTAGTCTCAGCTAAATTTAGTTTAATTAATCACTTTTTCTCATATAGTAAGGCTTATGTGGAATAATAATTTTAGTTGAAGATAAGTTAATGTGATAGCACACATATAACAAACTCTCCTATGATAAAAGACAAATCTTCCCACTTCAATTCATCTCAATTACAGTACTTCTTTTTTGTTGTGTTGGCTATTTGATTGAGTTAATAACTTCATCAGCACTTTGCTGAAACAAAAATGATGTGTTGCTAACAATTGTAAAAGTTTGATGAACTAGAGTTATGAGGTAATGTTCCCTCATGGATGCCGTGGATCTTCATACTCGCATATCAATTTTATGTTTGAAAGGGGTTTGGTGAGGGATTGGAGGATTAACTTTTTTCCTTTTGCTGGGTGCGCCAGGACAAAGCAGTAGTACAATACCAACAAGCTGTCGTGTTATACCTTCTCCCTAAAATATTAGTTGAAACGATGACCTACATATCAAATATGAAACTGATAAGAACATGTACTAAACAATAAGGTATGGTGTGGAGTAACGAATTGCATCTTTCAATTTGATGGTCTCCGATCCATCCAGAGAGTTACCATGTTGCAATTTTAAGCTAGTCATGTAAAAGAAAGAAACAGATCTTCTAGCTAGTCATCGGCTAAAAATGCTCCACTTACATGAAAATTTTGTCATGTCCTTGACATATATAGCAATTAGCAACATGCTTGTTACTGTGTGCTGTTGACAATAATTTCAAAATTTCGTGCTTAATGTTGAAAAATAAACTATGTAAGACTGACTATTATTATGCTAGCTGAAACATGCACTTGATATTTGGTTTAGCTAATTGATTGTAAACAAGTTACCTGATTGGATACAAAAAAGTCACTGTTCTGCGTACAAAGTTAGTACAAGTACCCAAAAAAGGAAAACGTAGATGTAGGGAAAAAGAACAACAGAAGAAGCATTTTCTCTATTTTTAATGTTGACATACAAAAAAAGAAGCTTGAGAAGTTAAATAGTTATTTGAATAACAAGGTAAACATGAAACATGATTGTCATTCAAGTTGTTGAGAATCATGCCAAACTTGTTGGGCAACAAACATTACCACTGTTACATGTCTTATGAGTTGCAATGTTTTCTTCCGTGTAAAATGAAATTTTAAGAGTTCGTTTACTTTGGATTACTGAACATTTCTGAATATCTAAATAAGATTATTTTAATTATCATTAAAATAATAGAGTCTTTTGAAGTATCACTTTGTTTTTAGGAAGTTAGTGACCCCATTTTCAGAGTATCCATTTTCATATTTTTATGTGCAGTTGATTGTTTTGGTCTTAATTATGATTACTTTTCTATACTCACTCCCATTCTGTATACGAAACCGGGCCCGCCCGATTTTACTGATTGACCGAGACCAGGGGGATGGATCGAGGATCAACCCCATAGCACATCTGGCCGAGATATAAGGATAAGGGATCGACTTCGGGATTCGAGGTACCTAGCAAGATCGAAACCAGTAATGATCGAGGTCGAATGAACAGACATCGAGCAAGACCGAAGATAGCATAATAACGGAAAGGCGAGATATCCATGACTGGTCGAAGATCATGGCGAAAATCTCGGAACAGATCAAATCAAGGGCGGTTGTTTAGCTAGTCATGGGATTTACTTATGTAATAAGAATTGTACCATAGATAGGATTCCTCTGCTATATAAAGGGGGTTCTAATCATTTTATAACCACCTCACATTCACGCATATCAAAGCAATATATTACAATTTATTCCTTGTAAGCTCTGTTGTTCAGTTCATACTTTCATTAGCTTGTTCAGTAGGTTCGAGTTCAATTAGCTCGAGGACCATAATTGATCATCGCATTGGTTTGCTCTATTTTACTGTAATTTCTATCATTAATTCATATATTTATCGTTTTGTGCCAAGTGAAATCACATATCCTTAAAACCACTTATCAGTTTAATTGTTATCCGATTTTAAGGATAAACAGTTTGGCGCCCACCGTGGGGCTAAGGATAATAGTGATTGCTTGGTGCAATTTCCGTAACACTCATAATTTCACGCTTGTTCCTTGAAGTGTCTTTGATTCCAGGATCAACATGTCAAACTCTCAAGTAGCACCCACACACACAAACGATGGCCTTGATCTTGATGGCGAGAACGATAACATAGCTGCCCAGGGAACAGAGTACCTCCGATCAACCCCGATGGAGCTCCGGTCGTGGATCCAATCAACGTCAGTCCTCATATTGCCATTAATGGAAATTTGGGCGTCGATCCTGAAAATAGCGTCTGTAGGGATGCTCGAACAGTCGATCAGAACGCATAGGGGGGAGGGGTGAAGAAGGCGGGATTAGTCTTCAAATGATATTTGAAATGTTGCAGACCCAGCAAGCCGCGATAGCGCAACTCCAAAACCAGAACAGCGCACCGAGCAGGATCGAGCTCGATCCATCACAAGAAATTGTTCATAGAGGCCGAATCGGTGGCGAAGAGATCGAATGGACGAGAATCGGAGACTAATCCTGGTCTCATAAAAATGCTCGAGGAACTGACGAAGCGAATCGAGACAGGGGAAAAGAAGATCAAAGAAAATGATAAGAAAGTGGAGATTTACAACTCTAGGGTCGATCAAATCTAGAGGGCACCACCAGTATTGAAAGGACTTGATTCCAAAAAGTTTGTCCAAAAGCCTTTCCCCCCGAGTGCGGCTATAAATCCAATCCCAAAGAAGTTTTGTATGCCCGAGATTCCGAAGTATAATGCGACGAAGGATCCAAATAAACACGTCACCTCATGTACATGTGCCATTAAGGGAAATGACTTGGAAGATGACGAGATCCAATCCGTGATGCTGAAGAAATTCGGGGGACTCTATCGAAGGGTGCTATGATATGGTACCATAACTTACCACCTAACTCTATTGATTCATTTGCTATGCTTGCAGATGCTTTCGTAAAGGCACACGCCGGAGCCATTAAGGTCGCTACCAGAATGACAGACCTCTTCAAGGTAAGACAGAAAGACAACGAAATGCTCAGGGAGTTCGTATCTCGATTCCAAATGGAGCGAATGGATTTGCCACCGGTCACCGATTATTGGGTTGTTCAAGATTTTACTCAAGGTCTCAACGCTCGAAGTTCCGTAGCTTCACAGCAATTGAAACAGACTTTGATCGAATATCCAGCTGTCACTTGGGCCGATGTACATAATCGGTATCAGTCGAATATCAGGATCGAGGATGATCAACTGGGGGCTCCGATTGGGTTGATTTATCCTAACAGGTCTATGGACAGAGTTAAAAGTGACGTCGACCAAGAACCGCGGTAACAAATACTGATATCAGCCATATGGTGGAGATCGGAGATATAACGGGCCCGGGCACAACCTCGTTCGGAATGATAGAAGGAATGATCGATGGCAGAATTACTGAGGGCTCCTGAGGAAAAGCGGTTTCGATAGGGATGTCGGGACCAAAGAAGCACCTCGCTTATCGAAGTATAAATTCAACATGGATGAATCCGCCATAGTATCAGCCACCGAACGTATCAAATATACCAGGTGGCCTCGACCTATGCAGACCGATCCGACCCAGAGAAATCCAAACCAAATATACAAGTACCATGGTACCCATGGCCATAAAACAGAAGATTGTAGGCAGCTAAGGGAGGAAGTAGCTCGATTGTTCAACGAGGGTCACCTTCGAGAATTCTTAAGTGATCGGGCCAAAAACCACTTCAAAAACAGGGATTCAAACAGACAAAACGAGCAGGAAGAGCCACAACACGTGATTCACATGATCATTGGAGGGATCGATATTCCTCAAGGACCAGTATTTAAACGCACCAAGGTGACGATCACAAGGGAAAAACTGACGAGACTACTTACCGAAAGAGACCTTGTCTTTCAACGACGAGGATGCGGAAGGGATCGAACAACTTCATAATGACGCAGTGGTGTTGATATCCAATTTTTCCCTATATATTTTCAATATGAAAAAGACCTTCAAAAGAGCATATATGCATATATACGCATGTCCAAGTGTCTTATTATTTTTCCATAATTTTTAAAGGTTTAAATTGATTTATTTTCTCCCTTTTTATCCATAAAATCAAAATAATTATTTCCAAAATTATTATTTTGATAATTCATCTATTGGATTTTTACATTTATTCCAAATATATGGCTAATATATTTTTTTTACATATTTTTACAATTTTATTTAGTATTTTTAAAGCTAAATTACATATAATTGCAACATTAGCCATTTCTAAGGTTTAATTATGTTATATATCCATAAAATTGAGTCTTGTATTTTTATATTGTTAATTATGTATTATAAATCATTTTAGTATTTTGAATTTATTTTCAGAAAAACTATTTGCTATTTTTTATAAATGAAAAGGGAAAAAATGGCTATTTAACTTATAGCCAAAATTAGCTTTAAAATCTAGCCTAAATCGAATCCCCAATCCCCTGGCTCAATTTCTAATTTAAACCCGACCCTAACCTTTTAAACCCAACCCAATCCCGGATCCCCACCTACCCCATCTAATCTAGGCTGTTGATCATTAAGATCAACGGCCACCATTTCACCTACCTAAAATAAACCCAAACTACCCCCTTAACCTAATTCATTTCCACCAACCCACCGCCCTTGAATCCACTCCTCTCCAATTCTCTCTGCAATCTCACCTAAACCCTAGCCGCCGCCACCTAGATCAACCCTAATCCACTTCGATTCTCACCCAATCCATGGACTCCCATGGCTGTTTGAGACATGTACCGATCTCCTGTGTCTCCTGGTTGTTTGTTTTCGTGATTTCATGGACAGATCTCAAAGAGATCTAGTCCAGTCTCGGCTCAACTTCTATCCATGGCCTCTTTCCGGCCATCCATGGCTGTTCGAGTCAAATCCTTGACTTTTACGGTTAGATCGGTAACTTTTCAAAGTTCTTCTCATTTTTCTGGGTTCTCTGAAACCCTAGCTTTAAGATCTTTCCGATTTTTCTTTTAGATCTGTATTAGATCTGTGTATGTCATGAACTTTTTGATGTTCTTCTCCAAAGTTTTTCCGATTTCTTTCAAAATGACTCTTCGTCTTCAAAGATTAGGGTTTTCTTAAACTTCTTTTAAAAGTCTTATTCTCTGACTTTCAGTGTTATCTTATGATTTTACTATGTTTGAACAATTTGCTTATGTTTTTCTTCTACCTGGTTCATCGTGTTAAAATCCTAGGTATTTTAGTTTTATCCGGGTCCTGAAATGTCTTTGTTTGTTTTGTATGTATACTTGTTTCGACTAAGTTCTTTGTGTTTAGATCCCCTTCTTTGTTGACTGATTCAAAGCTCTTACCATTTTTTTAACTTGACTATTGTTAAAACCCTTATTTCTTAAAACTTCACTCATTTGTTACTGTGAGCTTTCGAAGACTACCTTTACTTATTTCAGTGTGTAGGTCTGACCTCCTCTACATGTTGCTATGTGTTAGACTGTTTCCTTCATTTTAGTTCTATGTGACTGCTTGACTTTGTTGACTACTATGCTTCGAGTAGGTTCTTCTACTACTGAGCCCTAGCCTACCCCTGTTACTGCTGTATGTTTGTGTTCATCTAGTTGCTTCTTTTGTCAATATGGTTGGCCTTGCATGTCTGATGTTCTTGTTCATTCTTCTCTATTTATATGGCAAATGCAAAAGCATTATTCTTTCTTGATTGATCCTGATTTCCTCAAGTTACGACTGATTGCAAATATTTTCTTATAAACCCCTGGTTTCACTCGTTTTGTTTAAATTGATTGATTCCCTTCCTTTGCTATGATGTTTTACCCCTGCTGAATCCTTTCCCAAAATTAAGTACATTTTGTACTTAGACTCAATTGTATACTCTATATTCTTACTATCCCTTATATGGTCAGAAATCAATCTTCCTTAAATTGATTTTCTT